GGTAGTGTTATTTCCTAATTGCTTATGCCTCAAAAGTACAGAAAATGGCTATTATTCCCCACAAACTTTTCTTTTGTGACCAGGACAGTGACATTTTGAAATGTACCTATTTTCAATGAGAAAACGTTTGAATTTGTGTCTTTCGCTCACAAAGTCCTAGTCACAAAAGCAAAGTGCTCATCCGCCTCGACGCGCAGCGCCCATGCACGGGCTGGTTACGCTGGAGAAACTACTTTCATACTTTCACAGTATATATCCAACAGTATATATCTTTTTTAACAATGGCTTAATTAGTGCGGGCATCAATTTTTTCATGCAATCGGACGTTATATGAAGTCGGAAGCCTTGAAGCATACATTAGGTATTGTATGCCATAGTGTGTAGGCGATGCAGTATAATACAAACATTGGCTATTGTAGACTGTATATATATACGTGTACATTGCGCGAGCCCATCATCAAAATCAAGGTGGTAATTTCAAATCCCGACGGTTCACTTATAGTTTGTCGTCATCACAGTCCCGTTTGCGGCAGATAAAATAAGCACCACTTGGTTGGGCTTACGTCGCTTGGTCTAAAAGGTGGGTTGTGTTAATAAAGGGTCAAGACCTCGGCATTGTAACGCAGACATGAGATGTGCTGCCGTAATCAAAACCCGCGAGACGAGCACCGCGCAAGGTCTCCCGGAGTATGAGGACAGATGATAGATACCCCGATGTTCTTTCCTCACGTAAACTTGGGTGTTATCTATTCTAAATTGTAAGAGAACGGACACGTAAAAAACAGTTTTGCGTGCCAAAATACCGGGAACTCAAAACCGGTGATAGTAATGTATTTCCATAATAGAGGTGTTTTGGGTTAGATCACGTAAATGTGTCGTTAAAACCCGCCACCACGCGACACAGCCAACTAGTAAGGGTTGTCACGACCGCCGGCGGAGCCAGTGGGGGTGGCACGTGCCCTCCTAATGATCCGATCGAAATCCATAATTTCGATCGGATCATTGGGGTTTATTAGTAATAAATCGGCATTTTGCGACCCCCACTGCCACTGTGTAGCATATTATTACGTGCCAGGGACTCTATGAGGTGATATGACAATAGTCTGAGTCCATATTTGGCAATAAGTAACGGCAAAGCAGTTATAAGTCACTCACAGAATTGTGCGCAGTTGCATATACAGTACACGACTTCCCTGAAGGCATTCACCTTCAGTGAGCGCGATGCCGATCACACAACACGGTTCGAATTCGACCCTCAATCGATGGCTGAGCCATTGCTGCACACGTGTCGAATAAAAAGCAAGGGACTAGTCCTTACTTACTAACAATTCCTATCATTTTTCATTGCTGGAGTGGTTGCCCCCTGACCTGAAAATCTTGGCTCCGCCATTGGTCACGACGTTTTGCCAGTAATTACAACTAGCTTTATCAGGTGACAGCCAGATATCAACATTATTACTTTGTTAAATATCATGGTATTATTATATAGTTATGTCCCTTGTTGTCGATGCTGGTTATTCCAATACAGGTTACATCAGTACTTAAGTAAACTCACAGCGCCGGGCAGAGTGAGTGTGGGAACTCGAGAAATTATGCAATTAAAGTCCATGCTTTAAGATTCACAGTGGTATCAATACTGCATGTTGTTACACTTGCGGGATGCACGTCGATGTGGTGACCACACTTCTGTGCTCTTGCGCAAAGTGGGGGGGGGGGGATTAATGAGTCAACGTACATTATGCATGCGCATTATGCGAGCCCTTTGATCTTGTCCTCCTGTCTTGATGAAGCAATATGGATTACCGTTGGTACGGATATTTTAATACACACAATAGACAGGAAGGACAAGATCAAAGGGCTCGCATAATGCACATGCATAATGTACGTTGACTCACAGAAGTGTGGTCACCATATCTACGCCTCTATATAAGGAATGAAACAGGTGGACTTCTCCACAAATCTGGCTGTCGCCTGATGAAGCTAGTTGTAATTACTGGCGAAACGTCGTACTCAGATTGTAAATGTTGTAGCTTGGCTCTCCAACACACCGGTACTAGTGACAAATTGGCATGTTCTGTTTACGTGACAACCCTTACTAGTTGGCTGTGTCGGGTGGCGGTTTTAACGAGACGTATATTTGCGCGATCTAACCAAAAAAAACCTCTATTACGGATATTGGTCACAAAAGCCAACGTGTTAAAGAGTAATGTATCTTTTGAACTTCTTTCGCACCATACGCAGCCAACTGTGCTAATCAGAGGTGCAGTGTAATCAAAAAAGGTGTACTATTGGTATTCGTGATATTATATCGCGCAAAGCTTTCACGAATGCGTGATGTTTTCACGGACCAAAATTTTTGCCATTGTTGCGATTCCAGCCGATCGGACATTTGTTTAAAAACGCGTTTAAGACTTCACATTCCGGAAATAGCGAAAACACACCATGCATTTGACCCCAATTAAGTTTATTTCAAGTGGTGTTTTTTGGGGGGTCATAATAACTTGGAGGAACCGAATTGTATACATTTATAATATGACCTTTTGGTCACCGTTCATTTTACCCAGGAGATGCGGTTCAGATGTCAGGTTTATTTTTATTCTCAGAGAGCACGAAACCGCTCAAACGGACATTTCATGGCTCCAACCCATCGGGAACATTGTTACATTAACATCAGTCAACCTGTCGCTCACAAGTACAATATTGTGTTATACTGTATTGTCAATTTTTTTTACTGCGTATCTATGTATCTCAAACAATACTTACATGTAACAGTCTGTGCTGTTTTCCAATCGTGACTACGATTCCGATTAAGATGACAGATTTTGTACTGCACTTACCATAACCACTGCACCCCAGTTACACAAACATACCTGTACCCATGTAAACCGGGTTGACGCGCCACTGCCTGCCACGTGCCGCGAGCGCGCATTACACACTCAGTAAACTCTTCACTGGCATCTACGGGTAATCCTAGAGATCACATTTTCGCTGGGATTCTAAAGGAAAAATAATCGATGAAATTAATACGCATAAACACAAAATAATAATGTAGTCATTGTGGAGAATATAACTAAATTAGTGGCTTCTTCATAAATAATTTATATAGCTATACTCTTTGGTCCTTTCGGTAAAGTCACGTCGGTAGAAAAATATCGTAGATCACGACGATTCGATCGCAACACAAGAAACCGTCATCAGGTGTGAAACAAACACAGCAGGAGGACGTCAGCAGTCCTCCTGCCTGTCCACGTGCTTCCAAAGCACGAATTCCTCGAATTAAGACCTTAAAACTATGTTTTTGTATTTCACCAAAGAGCACCCCTTTGTTGTGGCGCCTTTGGGGTCAACACTAATCAAGACCCCAGGAGGGTCTCGTCAAACCAATTTGATCAAATTCATGGCTTCTGCTAATTAAGTCCTGAGATCAAAGAGACTGTGGATGGCACTTGGGCACTAGATGACTGCCTAACCCGACGACGTACTGTAGCTGGAAAGCCTTCGGTGCATGTGCTTCAAATAGCTACATCCAGCAGGAATAGATTCACTGCTGGATGAATGCCTTCAGCCGTCTGAAAAGAGTAATTCATTCCAATGATAAATATGTTTTTGCTATTAAGATGTGGATATAAACCTAATTTTAAGATTCTGCTTTTATGTGCTATGGTTCCATGTTTGTCCCCACGGTCCACTATTTGTGAATTGCAAACATCGATCTCAGATCTCAATTTCTCATGCAATATTTTCTCGGGCCCCATAATCTCAAACCCACGCGAACCCAGACAGCTCCAGCTGAGAAAATCAAGCCCCAATCAACCGCTATTTTCCGGATTTCAGACTTTCATTGCCGACCATGGTTATCTTTAAACATATATTTTTATGATGGCTAGGTCACATCCATTAATTAAAAAAAATGGGTTGGTTTTTAAATCATGCCCACAACTGCACCCCTGGGCCCCGAAACCCAATTACTATTGGAAACAGCGATTTTCACTGGTGCCATCATTCCATTCTGAAAGTTGGGTTAGTATTTTGGTACAGTATACATAATTTTGTATAAACACGTAACATAGTATTAATTGTTAAAGGGTCCGATTATACTTTAATTTTAGCGTGGCGAGGGTCTTTTTGTTTGTTCCCCCCCCAAATGTCCTTTTACTTGGAGTCGTGACGCAGCCTAGCTGTAGCATGTTTGCTGCTCATTGCAGAGGTTCACGGTCCAAATCTACGATTTCAAACGGTGCGTATCAACCAAAATATATTCATAATGCATTTCCATGGATGTTAAAGATCGTGACGTCATTCAGAGTAAGACCATTGTTATTCCATGTCAGTTCAAATCTGAAAAAAATACTCAATTGGGTTAATACATAACAGCACCCCCTACTCGTGAGAACACTACGGAAAGAGCGTCATGCGATGCTGAGAAGCTTTCTGGGTAATCAAGCATAATTCGTCCACATTGCTACCCCATTGACTCCGTGCCCAAATTACGCTTTTTGGAATAAATAAACAACCATGTAGTATGGTGGGTGCTTTGTGAATACTTTGTGTATATTGCCTTTACGTCCTCTTGGGTGGGATTATGCTTGTTTTTGTATCACTATGGTAAAAACCATGGTTTTCCCCCACAAGTAAGGAGATGCAGTATAGTACTGCTGTTCAATTGCTGATGTAGTTGCAACATTCCTAGAACTGGTGAATCAACTAACAGCCATAGCTCGAAATTCAGTAATTAGAATGTAGTCTATTGCCAAATGCATCTACCAACCCATACAATTGGCAATGGGGACATCTGATTTCATTTTGTCCAAGTGTATATCCATTGACATTGTTACTTTTTTATTTCTGCATTACCAAATAATGTTGTAAACAAAACAAATTATACAAGGTTAGCAGTTAAATTCGGTTAACATTTCTGAAGTCACAACCACACATTGTTAACATTTTTACACGTAATGCATTATATTTGAAAATTATTAAAAATGAAAAACATGCTTCACCTGATTGGAGGGTTTACAATGGAAATGGCACCTTCGTAAAAAATCGCGCTTGGGTTCCCATTCATATAGCTCCTTTTCCGATGCTTGGGCGAAGGCGGCGCAGCCACGGCCACATCGCAGTGTGCAGATGCGTGAAGGCAGCGGGGCAGGTTGGAGGAGCGGCGGAGGGGCTCAGCACCGTGTTTTATTAAACAGTATTGATTTTCTGTCCTCTGAGAGTGAAGGCAAGCGAACGCCATGGCTGCTTTCCCTGCAGACAATAAGAGTGGTAATCGTAAGAAATGGGGACGCCTTGCCACACTGAATTTTTAAAGCCACCTGCCCTAGCAGCAGTTAGCATTTTTCCTTCACCTTCATTATTCTGCACCTCATCTGGCGAGTACGAATGTTAATTTAAAGAATCAGCACTATTTTACACATTGTGCACCTACGTTTGGTTCAGGAGTTGTGCAAAATAGAAGCCATACAAATATAAAATGATTTCCGAGGATGTCAAAGTAGTTGACTGCATGGTGAACTTATTTCTCACCGTAAGTAGTCAACCATGCTCATCGAAGGTGTGGGGGAACGGCAACATGAACAAGTAATTTAAGGACTGTAAATGAATTCACAATATTCCACGGATCATGTCAGAGCATTACTAGGTAGTTAATAAAATTTCGCAAATTCTTTTTGCACTTAAAAATGCATTGCAATTTTAAAAATCATTATAATATTAATACAAGGCAATGTGTTTCTTCAACTTGCTGCACCACAAGATTGTATCAAATTTTCCCCAGGTCTCATTTAGAAATGTTTAACGGGGGGAGGGGGGGGGAAAATATTAACACAATTCCATGCTGCTGGCCCGATGTGTCCTGCTCACTCAGCCCATAAATTTGTTTAAGCCCCAGAAATGCTACATGTCATCTGGCATCATACAACATTGAAGCAAAGTGACACTATGCATTTAACAATTTAGAAGCAACTTTGTAAGTAAGGTTGGATTTATAGATGTTTTTTTTGGCAATAACCACAAGCACCGAAGTAACTTTCAGTCACACTGATAAGGATCACAGTAGGGAGATATAGATGCGCAATATCTCCAATGTACACCCGATCCCACGGAGATCCGACCTAATTAAAAAAGCGGGAGGTATTGGTCAATACATTGTCAATTTGCTCTACAACACACCGGTGTGCTGTACTAGTAACGAATTGGCATGTTCTGTTTACGTGACAAACGTTACCAATTGGCTGTGTCGGGTGGTGGCGGGTTTACGACACATTTATGCGATCTAACCTTAAAAAACAAACCTATATTATTCCCTTATTTAACATTTCCAAAATGCACAAGTACAATGAGGCGTGATAAACTTACCATGCACACCTCAATGAAGCGTTTGGAATCCTCTTTTTAGCAAACACGCAGGGAGTTGCACACAATCTTGAAAATGTTGCTGAAAAAAGTAAAAGTTTCGTAATGCCCTATAAAACAAATCTATGATTAAACAAACTAGCCAGACATGGCTATTCCGACACAGCTTAAGGATACATTTCTATTAACAGCGGAGTGACAAGTCCATAAAAATACGAAAGGCATCAAGAAAGGGCAGGTTATTTGGTGCGGTTTATGCATGACAAAGTTAAGGCCACACGTCCCGCAATACGGAGGCAAACCACAGCAGATACGTGTAGTGACTAACTCGGAGACAGTAATATTTGGAGGCACTTCTTTTATTTAACGAACACCATCGGAATAATACACACCCTACGTGGGTGCACACTCTACAGTAGCTAGTCTATACACAACTCTAAACGTCTAACACTGACGGCGCTGGATGGAGACAGCCAACAACTATACAGCAGTGCACTATCGAGTGAAGACGGCAGCGACAATGTGGATGACAGCGAAGATGGCGACGAGATGGTAACGATGATCTTGAACAGCACGACGGGGATCCTACTTCCAGCAACAGCCACGAGGTCCCCCACAGGGGCCCCTCTTATACTCTCAGTGTGGCCTCGCTCCGCCATGCCCCATCTCTGGAACCTACTAGCGGGTTCCCGCTAGTAGATCTTTCCCCTATATGTCCCCCTCGTATCTATCGTGGCCTGCTGACGTGGGTACTGCCATACAACGCAGTTACCATTTTTTGCCAGCAGCCAGCGCTATGCCACTACACATGCAAGACTACAGCAGTCCACGCTCTGCGCTAATCCACCACTCAGACTGCACAAATGTTTACTCTATAAATTGGCAACGAATCTCAAGGTAAATTTTAAACAGGGTCCTGTTACCAGTTGGGATGTTTGACCAAAATTCCTCCGAAGGAAGGCCTGTATTCATTATAAACATCAACTTACCAGTTCATATACAAATTTTAGAAAATGCCATTTTAAAGGCCCAGTATGTAAATGAAGTCGTGCTCACAATTCAGTGCCGAAGGACTTAGATCGTTCCCCTTCTTGGTTGACTTGCGACCTGTGCCTTGGAACGGAGAATCGTGACGTCTCAATTGGACAAGGTGGAGTTGGGGCTGCCCGAACTGCAGGATACCTGTCACACGTGCAAAGGAGGCAGGTGCCATTAAATGGTTGTTTCGCGACACAAAAAGGGGCATGTGCAGCCAGCACTTCACCTATCGTAGGTAGACTGATAATTTATGAAAAAAATTCAAACCTTTAAAATGTACAGTCCTTTTGATCAAGCCACTTGTTATATGGCCTCTTTCCTAGTGTAGCAATGGGAGCCATTTTACCAAACGTTACCATGCAAGTGAGTGTCAATTGAACCTTATGGCGGGACCCCGGGGTCCAGAATAAACGGAAGTCAAAATCGTAATTAATTAATTAATTTGTTTTTGGCAACTCCATCCCACCGCGCACATAAACGCCACAACCAACCTGGCACGGATCATTCTATTGTCATGTCGTCCAAGCATAGCGAGGACGAATGTGCAGAAGAAACAAAACATTGAAACTTTGGCTAGCGCATCGTGTAGAGCTCGTCGAGAGGAATAGATTGCCGTATCGGTCGCCTTCAACAGACATTAAATGACGTCGCAACGCAATTTATGCAAGAGTCGGGGGCTTATGGGACTCCGGGGTCTCGCCATAAGGTTCAATTGAAGGTGGGGATGGGGAGTATGGTAGCACAGTATTTTGGCATTTTTCTGCATTTCCCCACCCCATAACTAGTCTTGTTATGAATAGTGGTTACTCAAAGCCCTTCAGGCTTAATTTCCGACGTCAGGTCTAAAATAAATGAAATTGAAGTTCACCCAGTCAGAGGCGAACACGCCTCTCCCGTATTCATGGTGCTTTCCTGGGAAGGATTAGGTAACAAAGAGGGGAGATGGGAAGAACAACGTTTAAACGGTTCACAATGGGCATGCGCACTTAGCATAAAAAACGAGTGTCAGTTTGTAGTAAAGGAATTTGCAGAGACTTGCGTTACAAAACAGAGCTATTAAAACACATGATCTTTTATTTGTAGTGAAAACAGCATTACATTTTTTTGTTTCAATTTAGTTTGGTGTAGAGATAATTGAAGCAACATGTTAGGAGTGCCATAAAATAATGAGATTAGATTTGAAGGCTAACAGCTTCATTTCAAATTCGTCACCTGGAGAGTCAAAGAAAGTCTTAATTAATGTAACAGCAATTCAGTCCACTGCAGTCGTCACAATGTTAAAGTACAGTACTACGAATTGCAATGGAAGCAGTGTACCTTCAAATTTAGAGAGTTACTTTTGGGAGATTAAACCAAAACAGTTTACAGTCTTACCACTCCCTCTGTTGGTCAAAGGACAGTGGCAAAGCTATTGTGCAGAAGAGCCACACTCGAACTTATGCAACCAAACTAAACGCGCACTACCACACACGATAATTGGTTGCAAAAAATTAGGTTCTCTGCACAATGATTAAAAGGCAGCCACATCGTTCTAGCCTAGGCCTGCGAATAAAAAAGGGTACATGGATGAAAGTTCAATCTCCAGTCATCGGATGGAGGCGGCAATCTTCGTAGTAAAGGTGATGGAGAATTTGAGGGCCAGGTGAACGTCTTCAAAAGGGCCAGAATTACATTTTCCAGCGAGAGATGGTCACGTGGAAGATAATGGTCTTGGAAGGTGGCCACGCACCTTATGATGCGGCATTTGTATGGAACCATAAACCTATACGAACTTTAACAAGCAATGTTTATTTGCAGATAAAGTACCACCTCGTAAAATGCGTCAAGATACTTAAGCCCAAAAAAGGCAATGTAAATAGCACGCTTGCATATACATTGTTTAAAAAAATATATTAATCTTGAAAATTGTGTACAACCTCCCGTTTTTTTACATTATGAGACCTCCTTTGCCAGTAACAAGATATAGTAATAGGTTTTACCCTTTTAACTGGCACAAAAACTGACACCTTTATTCAAGGCATCATGTTTGCAATAACCACAACACAAGCAGTCAAAATGCAAACAAAAGAGACAACTATGATAATAATATGCACTGTCCTTGAATTTGATTGGTCCACACCCGAGACGGCTTTTCTTAGAGCCTAGTCTCCACTGGTGTTGGACCAGAAGATGCCAAAAGGCGTACAACTCAAAAACAGCGCACTATCAGAGTATTGAGGGCTCGGGGTGAGCATTTACATTATGAGACCTCCTTTGCCAGTAACAAGATATAGTAATAGGTTTTAACTGCCAGTTAAAAGGGTAAAACCTATTACTATATCTTGTTACTGGCAAAGGAGGTCTCATAATGTAAATGCTCACCCCAAGCCCTCAATACTCTGATAGTGCGCTGTTTTTGAGTTGTACGCCTTTTGGCGTCTTCTGGTCCAACACCAGTGGAGACTAGGCTCTAAGAAAAGCTGTCTCGGGTGTTGACCAATCAAATTCAAGGACAGTGCATATTATTATCAGAGTTGTCTCTTTTGTTTGCATTTTGACTGCTTGTGTTGTGGTTATTGCAAACATGATGCCTTGAATAAAGGTGTCAATTTTTGTGCCATTTAAAAGGGTAAAACCTATTACTAAACCTCCCGGTTTGCAAGGTATTGTGTTAAATTTCCAATTAGTCATTCCAGGATCTATCATTAGTTCATGTTCAAATGTAATTTCTCACCCCCTCAATTAGGCCGTTCGTTTTCCAAGATAATTTGAGCTGGTTTTAGATGCATTTGGTTTGCGTACTTATTTTGGTTGAAAAATCCGCGTTTGCATTGTGTAGGGTCCGAATTCCCTTTAAATAATTTCTGGTTCCATTCAGATTGTCCCCGGCATTCCCTCATAGTACCCATTTTTGCAGAAAAAGGTGGCGATTTCAATGATTGTCACGAAATGTTTCACGTAAATATTCACACAATACGCGAACCCCGGTCATCGCCGCAGCAGCTTTTGGCTGGCCATCAAAGACCGTCACGCGCTCTCAGATGCGCTTCTGCGGCAATCTGGCTTCCTCGTATCGGAAGGAAGAGCGTTGCACTGGGAGCTATGTACTTTTAAAATCTAGATTGAAAACACATTTGAGAATGGCTTCGTATTGTTTGTATTCCTACACACG